CTTTGCATAATACAGAATTTAAAAACAAGAAAAAGTTATTTCCTTGATAAGATAAAATAAAATACTTCAAGTTATAGAATCAGTGTCTGAGGAGTATGCACTTTCGCTCCCTTTTCTACTTTCTGGCATGTTTAACATTTAACCTGTTAATGCCCATCTCTTGAAAAGTGTACATTTTATTATGTATTATAATTTGGTACTATATAATCTAAGCAATTCAAAGAACTGTTAAATAAATCAAAACACCTGAACTGAAAGAAAACTTCCTTTCCACAGCTATCTGAAATACGTTTCCTGGCCGTTTCAGCGACAATTCCAAACACTGAAGATATAGCATGCTGGTTGGGTGATTCACTAGATTCCCCAGCTAGATTCTTCAAACTTAATGAGGACATGAGACCAGTTAAGCTTCAGAAAATTGTTCTGGGTTACCCACATCCAGCTGGCACCTCTCAATTTCACTTTGAAATGTCCCTGAGCTACAAATTACGTGATATCCTGTTCAAGTACGCTGATGGAAAGCCTACGCTTATATTCTGCAGCACAAGAAAAGGAGTTGAACATACCTGCAGCACTCTCTTACAACAGATCACATTTAATTTTAACTCTCAGCAGAAGCAAAGGATCTGTGATGCTGCTATCACCATTACTGAGAACAAGCTTAAGGAGTGCGTGATGGCCGGTGTTGGGTACCACCACGCTGGAATGGGGAAAGAAGACAGACAGGTAACAAGTCCCTCTGATTGCAGCCAATTACACAAAACATTAAATTCAGAATAACCTTGGAAGAAGCAAGACTTGGGATGCTGATTGTGTGTTGAGACCAATGTAGTCTCAAAGGTGGTTACCAATATTCCTTTGAAACATTGGTAAACCACCTACAACACTACATGAGTCACAACTTATTTACCAACATGACACCCTCAAAACACACAAAGCAATGTCCACTAGAAACCAGTATCTTTCTTTCTCTAAGTCAACTATGCAGATAGCCAAAAATAAGAAGTTGCAAATAAAGTAGAATAAGACCTAAGCAGAACAGTAGTCAAAAGACGGTCTCTTATGTGTGCTAACAGAAACCGCCTTTTCAGGCTACGATTTGGGACTCACGGATTTAAAGCGTGATGGAGGTTACTTTATGTTTTCTTATTTAGGCAGTGGAGACTGTGTTCCGAGAGGGGATGCTGCCGGTACTCATGACAACAAGTACCTTAGCTATGGGAGTGAACTTACCAGCACATCTGGTCATCATAAAGGCTACTCAGCAGTATGCTGGTGGAGCATACAAAGACTACACAGAGACCCAGATTCTACAGATGATTGGTCGTGCTGGGAGACCACAGTTTGATTCTAGTGCTGTTGCTATTATTATGACTAAGGAATCTCAAAGGTATCTTCTACTTCTCAGGTGGTCATAAACTAACTTGTGCTGCTACTAATCTTAACCATAGATGAGTAGCTATAATTCTATTCTCCATTCTTGTTTAGTAGATATTTCAAGAATTATAACAGATTACTGATTAACATGCATAATTTTCTTATGCCTGAAACAAACAAACTCTAAATGGTAAACACAGGATGAGAAAATCACATAGCTCAGAACTACATAATCTGTATTTTTTCACACACAATGTTGCAGCTAAGAGGTTACTGTGTTAAAATCTTAGCCTAGAGAATAACCATCCAGAATGAAAATTTAAAAGTTATCCCTGGTCACTCCAGGCAAATGCAGGGATAGTACTGCTGACTTGCCACCTTCTATCACAAGTATTTCTACTCTCCGCAGGTCACGTTATGAAAAGGTAATGAGTGGTAAGGAACTGATTGAGAGCAATCTCCATCAGCACCTAGCAGAACACCTGAACTCTGAAGTTGTGTTACGCACCATCACAGACATTGGATATGCAATGGAATGGATCAGATCTACATACTTGTATGTGCGAGCTCTACGGAACCCAAGTCATTATGGTATACCATGTAATCTAAACAAGAAAGGCATAGAGGGAAAACTGCAAGAGATGTGCCAACGTGAACTCAACGCTCTTGCCAGTGCAAAGCTGCTTACCATAGATCATCGTATGGACGTGCGTCCCACTGCAGACGGCGGCCTCATGGCACGTTTCTACCTCAATTTAGTAACTATGAAGGCCTTCCACAAGGTATGGAGCTTGTAAGCTAATCACTGACTAAAGAAACATCATTCAATTTAGTACTTAATCATGTATGAATAATTGCAACTTGTGGGAGCTTATGTCAAACCATGG